CCGACCCCCCAAAACCCCAAAACCCCAAAACCCCAGAAGCATCATAAATAAAATATAATACTTCCAAAAAAATAACAAATATGAGTGTTCCAGCTCCCGCTTTGAAGAATCAGCACCAAGGTATTCGGCTTTTGAAGGAGATAGGTTATAAATCTAGATGGAATTCATATACCTGTATCTGGCCAGAGGAATCTCTTTGTATCAAATATAATGAAAACCTTTAGAATAAGTGAATGATAATGCAGAAACTAAATATTTCAGATTAAGCTCAAATGATAAGGAAATATTTCTTTACCATTCTGCACTTTTGGAAATTAGCATATCAACATATCAAAAGTTTTCAGTGCAAATTTGTGCCTGCATTTATCCAAATTGTCGAGATTTAGTCATCATATTTCTTAAAGCAAGTGAAATTATTTTTTCATAATTTTGAAATTGCAAATTAAGTGGACTTTGGTTAGATATTGTATATATTTCTGGTATTTGACTTCTAAAAGAAAAATAAACACTTATTGAACTTTCATAAGATTTTAGGTTAAACTCTAAAATGTGCTCTTTAAAGGATGGAATACTAACAAAAATATAGACCATTCAAACAACAACGAAGAAATGAATCATCACAATGAAGAAGAAAAGGTTAATTGAAAATAAGGGAGAAAAGAAATTTCAGCAGAACGAAGCTGTTAATTTTTATAACCAATTGAGAATAAAATACCTTAACAGATCAGATGGAAATAACTTCTCAGATTCTAATTCGTCTTTTGCATCAGAGTCTGACTCTGATCCTTTTCAGCTAATCAATGAGAATAAAGATGAAGAAACGAATGACAATATGTTCTCTCCTATTTATAGATATGAATATGGAGGAGTTTTGATTTATGACATAAACACAACTATTCCAGGCCAACCAGTTCCACCATTTGATTGCGAACATTTTTCAGAGGTAGGTCATTTGTTTCAAATTTTGTTATGCATTTTTATTTATACACAAAGATTAATTATTCTAACCTTTTAAATTTAGCAAGAACAATCTCAATTTTTCTTTAAGACTGCCAAATCTTTATCTTCAAAGCCAAAGTCTTTAAAGTAGGAGTCATTTTTAATTGATAGGAGATATATAAAATATGAAGAAAAAGATCAAAAATATAATAATATTTAAATCAGACCCTGATATTCCATGTAAAGAGCTTCCTCCTCCTGGCAATAATAACTGATTTTCTCGGACCATTCATGGGAACCGATTTAGAAAATCAAATAATGAGAAATTGACACAGAATACATCTCAATTCAGAGATAAATAACATAGAAGATAATCCTTTTAACTCAAGATCTTCAAGTAAATTTAACATTTTATCATTTCAGATATCTTAAGAGAAAATACTCATCGTGGGAAGCTAAAGAAGGTGACACTAGAAAATTCCCAAATAGCTTATAAAGGATCTTACAAAGATCTCCCAAATTTATCTTTCTCAAATGATGCTCAGTCTAAGCCTTCTAGCAAGTTAACTTGTATCTTTAAAAGCAAAATTAGAGCCTCCAAGGATAAAGACCTAAAGTAATGATTAACAGAATATTTAATAGGTCTCAAATTAATGAAACCCTACCCGATAAAAGCTTATTTAATAAGCCTCCGAATGTAAAAGGAATTATAAACAAGAAAGGTACAGTTAAGTCAATAAATTTTAGTGACTTTTCAAAAGAATAGGACATTTGGAAATGATAAGAGGAAAATAAAATTAGTTATTCCTCCTGATGATCAACTTCCAGTCAGATTCGAGTCTCGATTTGAAAATGGAAATCTTAAATAAAGCAGTTAAGATCTCTGATACCGAGTATAACTTGATTCTAAATTTCGACTACAATACTGGCGGTCATACTCAATGGTTTTACTTCAAAGCGATGACAAAACTGAGTGAGGGGACTGAGGTAAAGTTCAACATCCTGAATCTCATGAAACCGGATTCTCTATACAACTATGGCATGAAACCATGAGTGAGATCACGGAAGAGACCTGGACGAGGGTGGCATCGTGACTGCCATGATATCAAATACTTCCGCAACAATATTTTGCGTAACCGTAATAAAATCCCAGGAGAGGGAGTAAAATCTCGAGGGAGGCTAGCCCAATACTATTTCTTCACTTTGAGCTTCACATACACATTAAGAGTAGATAATGACGATGTGAGTTTTGCTCATGCAGTTCCATATACCTATAATGGAAACTTGCTTCCTTTCCTGCAACAAATCGGGAAAGAGCCTAAGTTCCACAATTATCTAAGAATTGGAACTCTGTGCAAAACACTGGCGAGGAATGACTGAAAAATGATGATTATAACTGAAGACATCAGTACTTATCGTGATTGAACCAAAGAACTAAAATGGTATTTGATTTGATTTATTTTTAGGATGATGAAGCACCAACATCTAAGAAAATAATACTTTTAACAAAGTAGAGACAGAGGAAAGATTTCTTGAATATCAAATCAATAAGAGTGTAGACAAGCCTCACACCAAAAAGCTAAGCAAATTAGAAAAAGATTGAAGGAAAGTGTATAGAAATCATAGGCATAAGAAAGGAATCGTGATTTCTTCAAGAGTGCATCCAGGTGAAGCTCAATCTTCCTGGGTAGTTCAAGGCTTCATTGAGTTCTTACTTAGTAACGATCCTATTGCTGTAGAGCTTAGAAGGAACTATATTTTCAAAATTATCCCAATGCTCAACCCAGATGGAGTAATTTATGGGAATTATAGATGATCCCTTCTTGGATTTGATCTCAACAGAAGATGGCTAGACCCTAACAAGCAGCTCGACCCTACAATATATTTCGCAAAAAGAATGATAAAGGTATTTCAAGAAGAAAGGGAAGTCCAGTTGTATTGAGATTTGCACGGCCATTCAAGGAAATAAGAATGCTTTTATGTACGGATGAGATCATTCGTATAATGAAAGTCGATATAATAACTTTTTGCTGAGAATATTTCCTGCAATATTCTCACATATTAACCCAGTATTTCAATTTGAGAAATGAAACTTTAAATGTGAGAAAGCCAAAGAAAGAACAGGGAGAATCGTTTGTTTTAAGGAATTAGGTATCAACCATTCTTTTACTCAAGAAACTACATTTTATGGAAGGGATGGAGACAAGGATGCAAATTTAGAGGAGGATCTGCATATGTCTATTACAGATTTCAAGATTCTCGGGGCTGATCTTGCTAAAACGATATCTTTTTATCTGAATCCACAATTTTGTGTAAATTTGCAAAATGAATCATTGAAGTTAAAGTAAAATTTCTCTCATATTTTAGAATTGATCATAGAAGGAATGTAATAAATCCAGGATCTTTGCTAGCTGATGTATCGACAAATGCTGCGAAGCTAGATAATCTAGAATCCAGGCCTCAGACTTCGTATGAAGTAACAAACAAAGAAACTGTTATCCCTGAAGGGCATCACCAGATATTTGTAAAGGTCATGCAATCTCTCAACATTTCATATGAGAAACCTGAGGAAGACTCAGACAATGAAACATTTTCATCTAGTTCAGAAGATGAAGATGCTGATCTAATTCATGATCAACTCAAAGATTTGAATACAGATGACAAAGATGATAAGCCTTATAGAGAATTTAGAATAAGAAATCGACAATCTAAAACAACAATCCTTAAAGCTAAGATGAAGGCAAGACAAATTGAAGCAAAGCAATCAATATCACAAAATAAAATAGCAAATACTCACACAGTGTCTAGCGCGAGTAAAGCAAGCCAACGACAGAAAATTAAAGAGGGATTTGATAAATCATCTGAAATAAAAACCCCAATACTCAGGCACCAAAGTTTGAAAAAACAGACTCCATATGGCATCTCGGTCATCGACAATTTCAATATTCAACTGTTTGATAGAAATTCTAGAGAGATAAAAAGTCCTTTAGTCACAATGCAAAAGAGCATTTCTTCTTGCGATTGAAATCAGAAAAACACTACCGATATTTCAATTGATAATAGGTACTAATAATTGTATAGCTATAGGCAAAGAGCAAATAATATCAACATTAAAATAAGTGATGATCTAAATAATTACAACATTAATGTAAAGAACACTGCATTTCAGGATGTACAGGATCGAGATTCATATGTCCAACCTCCTTCATATTCCAAGCCAATCTCTCAAATGAAAAATCATAATCCTGAGTTTTGAATCTCTGGTGCTACTATACACGCTTCTATTGATAGGTATCCCCAAATAGAAGTAACTCACGTTGATAACAAATTTAGAAACAAACGAGGGAAATACCAAGGTTTAAAACAAGAAAATTTAAACATGGGAAACAGAGGCATAGAAAATACAAAAAGCATATAAAACTTGACCTAAACTACTCTAACAACTCCAAAGAATTCCAAGTATCCTCTAAATAATCCTCTCTAGGTCCTTAACTCCTCCAACCAAACCTCTACCAGTACCCCTTCTCCTCACCTCTAGACTCCAAACCCTCCTTCGACCTCCTAAAATCCCTCACCACCTCCCAACCCCCTATCTCCAAATAACCCTCCTAAACCCCCCAAAAATCCCCCAAAACCCCGTTCAAAAATCCCTCCAGTGGCCACCCACATCTCCAAAAACCCACCCAGCTGCTACAACCCGTACACCAACACCGACCAAGTAATTCTGAAACCTAGTGGGGCTAGGAAGGGAACTGGTCTGAAAGCTCCAGCAGAAGGGAGTACTGTAGAGACTTTGTACCAGGAAGTTCAGAAGTAAGAAGAAGAGGTTTATGTGTAGGTTCTTGATTGATAGTAATAAAAAGTAGAATGTTAATCTGAAGTAAAATCCATTCAATTTATTCTATAAATTTCGGGGTTTTGGGGTTTTGGGGTTTTGGGGTTTTGGGGTTTTGGGG